TTCCTGCTCTGGGATCTATGCTGCCCCTTCTGCTTGCATCTTTCTCTATGCAACCTCACTGCCACCGAGGCAACTCCAATGCTTCACCAGAGGACCGTCTGGTGGGTTCAAAGGATTAACCTTTCTATGTGCAGTTGGGTGCTTAACAACTGAGCCACCAACACACACTCCGCAATCTGCTCATGCTTAAAGTATAACCTACAGTTAAACGTCCTTATTAACTTAATAAAAGAAACTCTATTCCCAAAGGAGATTAAATTCACAAATATGTTGCTGCTGAGTACTCATAGTGATCCTCTGAACAACATCCTAATTTGTGCCATCCTCACAATCTAAGACACTTGAGTTCACTGCTGCAATCACTGTGTCAGTCCATCTTGTGAAGGGTCTTTCTCTCTTAAAATACACGTTTTTGGGGATACACCTTAATCCTTAACAGCACATAACAGAAAAACTGTTGAAAATCACATTCAAAGAAAAAGTTTAGAAAAGACACCAGGAAAAGAATGAATTCTTGAAAAATGATGAAAAAACTATTATTCTCAATTAATTTAGCTTTCAAGGTAGACAGGGAAGTAATCACTTTGCTGAAAGATCTAACTAACTAAGGTTTGCTTAACTAGCAGACCTCTAAAAAAAAATTCTAAAGGAAGAATTTTGGAGAAAGAAAAATTATGCCAGCAGGAAGTAGATAAAGGCAAAGAGCAAGAACAAGAAATCAGAAGTTCTCAATGTGACTTAAAATTTGAACCACAGAAGTAGCTTTTAAGAACTATGTTGTTGTTTTTTTTAAAAAATTGTAATTTTTATTATTTTTTTGGGTGTGTACCATCAACTCAGATCTTACTGGTACAGGAGGAAATTGTCCCTCCTTCTCCAGCAGAGAATCTGGTGGATTCGAACTGCTCACCCAGGGATTGCAGTGCAGTTCTTGCCACTAGGCCACCAGAGCTCACCAGGAGAAGCTTTTAAGAAACACCAACAGTCAAACCCCTCCCTCAGGAATGCTAGTAGTGCTATAGCTAAAGCTCCTGACTATTAATCAAAAGACTGACTTCAGAAGCTCACTGTAATCTTGCAGGACAGAGAACGGCTTAGCAGGGTCTCCAAGGACATCATCTATTTGGAAGCAGAAACCCCCACCTCTCACAAGGAGCCTCAATCAAGGACATCATCTAGTGGGAAGCAGATGGCCATATCTCACATGAAGCAGCTGGTAGATTCAACCTGTTGCTTAGCAGATCAGTGCTTAACCACTGAGCATGTAAAGAAAGGTCCAGACATCTATATTTTGTAAAATTTCCTAGATGATTCTAATGGGTTTCTAGATTTGATAATCACTACCCTAAATGAGTAATGATTTACAAAGCTTGTAAAACATCTTCTGAGACTTAAAATATATGAGAAATTAACATGAAGACAGTAATGGCTTGAAGATGAGACGAGAAAAATAGACGAAGTGTCCTAAGATCCTTTAACATGAGATGAAAAAAGTACCAATTAATGAAAAATATTCATAAATGAAGGATACTAAAATGAGAATACTCACTAAAGGTATAAAAAAAAATTAAGTATGCTAAGGTAATAAAGGTAGTTTCAAAGTAATTATGATAAAATGAAACAGCAGAAAGAACAAAAACAAATTAAAACCCAAGTATACTATTAGTCACATTAGCAATACTTGAAACTAACTGTAAACAGACTAAATAGTCCAACTAAAAGCCAAAACTATTAGCTAAGTACAAACACATCTGAAATACAAGGATGATAATAGTATACAAAGTAGTGACTAGTAAAGGTAAAAAAAATACTGGAGATAAAATGGGAAACTTTATGATAACTTAAAACTTTTCAGGAAAATTTAATAAATTAGCATGCTCCTAAATAACACAACCTCAAAATAAAGCAAAACTGACAGAATTACAAAGGGGGCGGGGGGTAATTTGAAGATTTTAATAGTTTTCTCAATAGTAAAGAGAGAGGAAAGTAATTTAAAAATTCATTAAGGATAAAAGTCAACATGTTATAAAAACATACTCAGAACACCCATAAAGCATCAGGAACAGCTATAAAATAGTATATACAAATGAATGCTTAGAAAAGTTTTGTGAACATCCATTCAAATCAAAATAAAATTTTTAAAAAAATTACATTAACAGAATGAGTGAGTGTGCAAATACTGAATGTGAGGAATGTTAGCTATTAATAAATCTGGGGTAAGGGATTATGAATTTGTAAAATTCTTGAAATTTTTTAAAGTGTGAAATGATTTCTAATTAAAGTTTCATTTATTTATATATATTAAAAAAAAAGCATTCAGCATTGTCCTAATAAAAACATTTAAGGTCATGCTGGACCAATTTCAAACTATATAAATAAAAACACTCAAGCAGAATCAAATTAAAAAGCAAAATGTTAACAATGTTTACACACACACACACACACACACACCCCAACCCAGTACTGTTTCGTAGAACTATCATTTAATCCAACTTTTGCTGTTATGCATTGTTAAATCAAAAGTGACTTATAGCTGACCTTCTAGTGGGTTTTTGTTGTTGTTGTTGTTGTTATGTACTTTCAAGTCACTTGTGACCCATAGCAACCCTATCTATGTACAACAGCCCTTAAACCCTGCTCTATCCTGTGCCAAATGCACTGTCTCTGACACACTCATCCTGATTACCCCAGTCACTGAATCAAACCACCTCATAGAGGGTCTTCCTCTCTTGCGGCGTCCCTCCACCCTCCCAAGCATGATGTCCCTCTCCAAGGACCGGTCCCTCCTTACAACATGTCCAAAGTATGTCAGACGAAGCCTCAGAATCCTTGCCTCCAAGGAGGAGCCCGGTTTAACCCTCTCCAGGATGAATCTGTTTTCTTAGCAGTCCATGGTACACTCAATACTCTTCTCCAGCACCACAACTCAAAGGCATCAATTCTCCTCCTATCTTTCCGAGTCATTGTCCAACTCTCTGATGCATAACAAGTAAAGTTTTGATGCAAAGACCATAGCCTGTATCATTTCAATCACCAGAAATGCACAGCACAACTCACTATGCCACCAGAGCTCACTAATTTCCCACTAGCCCCAGTGAAAGGCAAATTATTGTATAAATAATAGTATTATTTAACCCTCTTTGTTTCAAATATTAGCATTTCGTCATACTGAAAGCCAAATCCCAGAGTTTCTTTAAGGGTGTAAATTCTTGTGGAAGAGTTCAAACCACTGGCCTTCCAGTTAGCAGGTAAGCAGCCAGCAGAGCACCTAACACTTCAATATAATCAGTATAAGTTTATTAATGACATTTTATCATTTTCCTATAGGCAGTCTTAAAGACCTGGCATGTATTTTACATTCAAAGTACATCTCAATTTGAACGCTGTATTTTTACAGGAAATATTTTATCTGCATTTAGATTATACAAAATCTACTTTAAAAAGTAGATTGGCATAGTTGAAACTTTTCCAAACATGGAACTGAGCATCAGTTTTCTAATTTAAATCTGAATTGGGGGGGGAACTCTTCTAATTCCTATTTCAAGTTGGACAACTCTCTCTATAAGAAAAGAGAATTTGCATGATAGAATTTAGCTTGTTATATTTTTTAACACAGATAGGTAAGAAAAAGAACTAATTACTCCCATCAGAAACATAAACAAGGAATCTCTCCAGCCACAGACATATGTTATGCTGCCATTCACAGACAGTGAACATCAAAAGCTTATCAATAATCTGCCTTAGTTACCACACTGAGATTGAGTTTTGTAACAAATGGCTAGCTATCGAACTACCCACTCACTTTCAAGTGTGGCAGAGCAAACCCTGAGTTCTAGCTCAGAAGGTCTAAGTACCCAAGTTTCAACACAAATACTGTCCTTGAAAAGGATACACACCCCAGAACTTGCCCTGGATTTAAAAAAGGATGTAGTCCAAAGGACTGGGGTGTTCTGTATTTCATTTCCCTTTCAAACAGGTGTAAGAGATTAACTCAGTCAACACCAAGCAATATTAAAGACTGTCAAAGACATCCTGATTTATGATCTTCTTACTGAAGGCAGTCAGTTTGTCGGACAGCAGATAAAATTATACACATATGAATAAAATTCTGACAGCTTGACAAAAGGTAAAGTTAGCTGCTTTAAAATAATTTTAAAGATTACTTAGTAAATGTGGGCAAAAATGCAAGCTACACAAAAAGAATAACCATAGAGTGAAATTTGAGGATTTTTGGTGTAACCAAACTGTTCAACTGATCAACACTGTGACTAAAAAATATAATGTACAACCAATTATGATATTAAAGTATTTTTTCTTTCTCTGAGACTTATGATAATATGCATTAAAATCCTGCTTAATTTTGAAAGGAGGATATTCTTTAAAAGTGATATTTATTTCTTTGATTAAGTAGTGCTTGTTGCTATTCACATCACTGGGAAATAAGGTGGAAAGTAAAGAATGGTTTTGGTACCCAGCTCTGCGAACCAAATCCTTCTGTCCTTATCAAATTGCCCAAGTCCCCCTTTTACTCTTCTTTACCATCAATCTGTCTTGTTTCTATCCTACATCATACTGAGGATCACTACGTGAAGACTAAAAATACACAATTATATATGAAATCATATACATAATTTTTGTCCCCAAGTAACAACAGTCTCAAGCAGAACAAACACAAGCGTTTTAAGCTATTCCATCAGAGAAGATGGTTTTTCTTTTATTCCTGAAAATGCAGACATTCTGCACAAGTGGGTACATTCTTTTTTTCTTTTACTAGAAACTGTCAGTTAATATCTAATCAAGCCCGGTTTCAGGAATTAGGCAAGTGCACACAAATTCTTTTAAAATAGTTAAAGATAATTAAGAAATATTTTGCCAGAAACATAACACTCCAGTCCAAACAGAGAACTCTTTCAAGGAAGGAAGTAAAACTGCTTCTCGTGAAGTTCCCTGCCTCTGTCCACAGCAGAAGTGCGCGCTCCCAGGCCACCAGGCATCAATACCCCATCCGCACGCGCCCTCCCCTGGTCCAACAACAAATCCCAGATTTTTTCCCCCCGAGAGGACTCCCAATCAACGACCTTGGAGGGCGGAAGGCTGCCTCGTGAGGCCCAAAGGCTGTGGATCTCTCTGGACGCTGACCGCCCATCTCTGTCCTGCGGCCCTTCCCTCCGATCCTCTGCGACACTGGCCCCCACGATCTCCATCGTCACTTCACCGAACCTCGCAGCACCAAGAAGTTCGCAAAAGTGGCTCAGGTGCACTATAATTTCGACATCCACATTTTAAAACATGATTTTCTTAAAAAGTGAATTTTTATGACACACTGACTGGCACTCCCCTTCCTGGTTAAAACGCAGTCCAACAAGGATGCACGCACACAAACGCCAGAGGGACTTTCCCGGTGCTTCCCAGGCTTCAGTACAGACCCGTGCACAAGCCCTCAGAAAACAGGCAGTGGCGGTGCTTCCCGCATGGAGAGACCGCTGGCCGCCGCTGCCCGCTCCGGCCCTTGCCCACGACTCAGCCAGAGTTGATCTCCCGCGCCAAGGTTATGCGGGGAAGGGCACATCCAGGAAGCATGCATCCAAAAGGAAGTCGGCGTCGCCCACAAGATTCCTGCTTCCAGGTGGGGAGTACGGCGGGGTGAGAGAAGGTGCCCGCTTCGGCGCCCTCACGAGGACCGCCGCACCAAGGTCTGACTGTGGGTCCCCGCGGCGGGTACGCAGCGGGAGCTCGCATTGTCCCCGGGGAGGGCGGGGCTGGGCCTCGCGTCGCGGGATCCTGGGGGACAGCAGAGCCGCTGCGTTGGCGGGGGCAGGGAGGTGCGCCCCGCCGGCGCCCCGCAGCCCCGTGCCTTTCATTTGGCCTCTGCGCAGGCGGGGGTGCCTGCCTCGGACGCCAAGCACTGCGCCAACTGGGAGGCGACGGGCCGCGGCGGGGGAAGCGCACGCCGCAGCCGGATCCCTCCTCGCCCGGCGCCCGCTCCGCGGGCCAGCCGCCCCCAACGGAGGAGGGCAGCGGTGCCCACTGTCCTACCTCGACGTAGCCGGCCAGCGCGGAGGCGGGAGCCGTGAGCCCAAGCAGCAGCACCAGGAGCCTGCCCATGGCCGCGGTGTGAGTCACCGTCATCTTCGCGGTGGCGCTAGAGCTCAGCTCGCAACTCACAGCCTACCAGCACTGCTCCTCCCGCCGCGACCCAGAGCCTCTGAAACCTGCTTGCCTCTGCCCCTGGAGTATTACACTAACCGGAACTGACCTCACAAACCGTAGCCCTCCTTCCGGAGCGCCCAATCCTAGCCCGCGGAACGGCGTAAGGCCCCGCCCCCGCCTCGCCCAGGCCAATCAGCAATGGGGGAGTCTACCGCTCCCTCTCGCCCTCGCGTTGTCTGTGTCTCTGCTCCGCACGGCTGCTGGCCCCGGCCCCGACGCAGATGGCCCGCCCTCTGATGCGGACGGCTCCGCCCACGCTGAGACCCTGGTCTGGGCTGCCGGGCGGTGTGACTGGCGATGGAGGGAGACCCGAACTTCTCTACTGTCACCCCGCCGCGGGTCCTGCCCCTGATGCGGACGGTCCCGCCCCCCAATACAGAGCGTCCCGCCCCCCGATGAAGACGGCCCCGCCCACGCTGCGACCCCGAGGTCGGCAGCCGGGAGGCTGGGTCTTGACTGAGCCAATCCATCGCCTGCCACACCGGTCGGCCCCCAGGTTCCAGTGGCCTACCCACAGTGATCATGCGTCTGCGACGCCTGCGCACACGCCCCCCTCCCCGGCCCCACTGAGTATTTTCCAGACTCTGGAAAATGAGTTCATTAAAAAAACAGGAAGAAGGCGTGTGTCCCGGGTTGTTTACAGGAGGCCTCCCCCGAGGCGGCTAAAGAGATGGCTTTCTGCCAGCTCCCGTAGGATCCTCTGCCTTGCTCCCCACACTTCTGCTCCCCTAACCTTAGGCCTCTTTCTTCCTTCTAGCGTCCCTCTCGCCCCATGTTTGGAATCCAAGAACTATGGAGGCCACGGAGCAGTTTCCATTCCCTACTGTAGGTAGTACCAGTTTACGTAATAAACAAGGTAAACACAGGTTTACCTGTGCGTGCTTAATCCGTAGTCTCTGGTTTCCTTTTTTTTTTTTTTTCGCCACTTCTGAGATTGTGCTTGTAGGCATGCCTGGCATCTGTTTCTCTCTTTACACAGCACCGACCTACGGAATCAAGCCTCACGTCTAGTTCCCAGTTCCTACTGGAGACAGAGGACCCAGAATGCAAAGTAAGCACAAGCAGGCTTGTGCTTTCTTACATGTGAAATTGTTCTCTACGTATTGGTAAGCACGAGCATCTTGCTTATTGGGAAATCTCTCCTTGGTGTTAGAAAAAGATCCTTTTCATTGTTCAGTTTCAGATCATTTTGGCTTCCTCGCTTCTTGCTCTGCTTCCACTTTAACTGCAGAAGTCTGTCTACTCTCGCCTTTCACAGCCGCCAGGGCACTGCCAAGGGAGGTTCCAGACTATTTCCACTGTGCTGAATCCAGCCTTGAAAGTCAACAAAATAAATACAGAATAGAATCACTGCGAAGTGGAAACTGACAATAAAAAGAAAGGACAATGTCCAGAGAGTAAGTACTGATGGAGTGAGAAGGGTCCTCCATTACTAACTGCCTGTGGATGAACTACCTCCTCTGCCTCATTTCACTAAGACAGCCCAGAGATCAGAGCCTTTTGAATGCTGTCCCTATGCCTGCAGCGCCATCTGTGCAGTAGCTACCAGTGGAACACATGTGTTCATTCTTCTGTTATATTGAATGCAATTTCATCCACTTTGAATTCCAAGGGAGTTTTTATGATATAGTTCATAGTAACTAGATTCTAATACACCACATTATAGGAGAAAGACCTGTGGTTTCCTCCTGTGCAATTGAAAGCCTCCCAAAAACCCACTGAAGGTCAGGTACGAGTTAGTTCCAACTATACTTGATAGGAAGGAGTTGGAATATTTTTTCAGTCCCAAAGTGCTGTTCCCATAATGGCACTTAATTCTCAAATTATTCTCCACCAGACTATAGATTTCTCCAACATTTCGTGCCCCAAAGCGCTGTAGCCATGGATTCAGTCATTTCTGTTTATTCTAGTGGATTTTTGGAGGCTCGAAATCCCACAGGAGCAGTCCACCTTGTCCTACAGAGTGGCAGTGGTTTTGAACTGGCGGAGAGTTGGCTCCTTTGGAATATGCCACCAGAGTTCTTAGCCTTAAGAGTATAGTTACTGAACAAATACTTGTTCAGAGTTATTAAACCAAATAATTCTTAATTCTAGTCTTAGTTCTGAAATGGTCATTAATTTAGACATGTGACTATGGCCAAGTCTCTTTATTGCTTGGGATTCTCTTCACTTCTCTGACAAAGGACTGTTAAAACCACTTCACCAATTTGTGTGATTCTAGGAAAAGTAAAAAAGACAAAGACAAATATTAGGGATAGAAAGGAGTAAAGCAATTCTCTACCAGAGATTACAGAAATATTAGTCTGATAAATCTCTTGAATGCATGAAAAATATAAAAATGGCTTTCCTTTCTTTTTGCTTTAATTTTAGTGGATTTTTTTATATTCTGTAAAAGCATACTATTCATAATAAACAGAACTTGAATTCATTGCCACTGAGTCCAAACCAAATCATAGCTAACCCTTCATTAAGCTTCTGAAGCTGTGAATTACACAGGAGGAGAATGTACATCTTTCTTCTGTTGCAAATCTGATTGTTACAAACCACTAGAGAGATACAGCCTTTGGGTTAGCATTTCAACTCCCTATGGACTACATCACCAGAACTCCTTATAATAAACAGAGGTGACTATGAAAACATGACCCAAGAGAAATTAAAGACAAACTAGACAATTGGGAACTCCTGAGAAAAGAAAAGTCTTGCATCAAATGTCTTCTCCTAAAGAGAACCTACAGATTAGGAAAAAAGAGAGCTCTGGTGGTGGCCTAATGGTAAAGAAACTGTATTGTAATCCCAAAAGCATGAAGTTCCAATCCACCAGCTACTCCATGGAAGGATTGGCAATCTCCTCCCAGGTGATTAACTGCTTCTGAAAACCCACTGGAGGGTCAGCTACAGGGCAGTTCTAACTCAACGGTACTCAACAACAACAAAGGAGTAGAAAAAGATATTTGGCAATAACATATCTAACAAGAAGCTAATTAATCTCTAGAATTTCTAGAAAACTCCAGCTCTCAACAGGAAAAAGACCAACAACCCACTCACAAAATGGACCAGGACATGGAAAGATACTGTACCAAAGAAGACAGTCAGATGGACAACAAATGAAGCAATACTCAAGTGATTGTTGTTAGGTACCGTCAAGTTTAGTATGACTCACAGCGACCATATGAACAACAACCTGAATAGTGGCCTATCCCTTTCTGTCCTTATCATTCCTGATACATTTGAGGCCATTGCAGCAGGAATTGTGCAATTGGATGTCCGTGGGATGTTCACTGATCTTCCCCAACACGACAGCTCAAAGGCATCAATTCTTCTTCTCTCATCCTTATTGATTGTCCAGTTCTCAGATGCATAGTAAGTGATTGGAAAGACCATGTTGTGAGTTAGACACACCTTAGTCCTCAAAGTAACATCATTACTTCTCAGTTAATTGAAGAAGTCCCTAACCGCAGACTTTTTTGACATTGACATGCAATCCTTTAATAAGCTGTATTCCTTGATCTACAACAAGTGCTTCAAGTACACCGTACTTTCAGCAAGTTTGTGTCATCTGCGTAACACAGGTTATTGGTGCGTTTCTCTTCGATCCTGATGCCATATTCCTCTTGATAGAGTTCAGCTTCTCAATTAATTTGCTCAGCATACAGATTGAATGGGTATTGAGAAAGAATACAACCCTGATGCACTTCTTTTTTAATTTTTAATCATGTAGTATTTGTTCCCTTGCTCTTTGCACACATCCTCCTTTTGGTCTAAGTATAGATTTTTGTACCAGCACAATTAAGTGGTCTGGGATTCTCATTCTCCTAAATATCACCCTCAACTTGTCATGATCAACACACTCAGATGACTCTGCATAGTCAATAACGCACAAACAGACATTCTTCTAGTATACTTTTAGCCAGGATCCATCTGACACCAGCAGTGATACCCCTAGTGCCACGGCCTCTTCTAAATCCTGCTTGAACTTCTGAAAGATCCTTATATA